AAATAAAATAAAATAAAGAAATAATACAAAGAATCAACAAATGGGGTCACATCAGATTAAAAAGATTCAGTGTAAGCTGAGTGGGGTAACACATGCCTATAGTCTCAGCACTTGGCGGGGGAGGGGGGTAGGCTGAGACAGGAGGATTGCTTGAATGAGTTCAAGGCCTGGCTGAGTTACATAGTCAGACCCTGTGTCAAAAAACCAAAGCCAAATAGAGATTCTGCACAGCAAAGCCACCAACAGAATGAAGAGACAACCTACAGAATGGGGAAAATATTACCAGTTCTCAAAACAGGAATATATATCTGGAATATATAAAGAACTAAAGAATTAAAGCCTCCCACAAATTTAAAGAGCCCATCCAAAAATGAGAATTTGAAATGAAAAGATACTTCTCAGATGAAGTACAGTCAATAAATACATGAAAAATGTTCAATATTGCTGGTCATTAGAAAAATGTAAATTAAAACAACACTGACATTTCATCTCTGGGAAGAATAGGTATCAAGAAATCAAATGTTTCATTTTTGCATGGCTTTCTCAGGCGACCAAGCAGTTGGAGAGTTTAGAACCTGAGGGGAAGTCTTGGTGGTAAAGGTATAGGGGCCTTTATTTAGCTCTCATCTAGTCCTTGCTGATATGATTGGAATAGTGACCTTTGGAGATGGGACTGACTCCAAGAAATGTTCTTCCATGGCACTGTTCTCTTGATTCAAAGTCCTCAAAGGTTCATAGAGTTTTAATGTACTACTTGTGTAGCATTCACATAAACAATGAAAAGAGTGGCTCCTAATGGTTCTGTACTTCTTAATTGCAGGCCTAGTTTTCTGCTACATGTTTTGCATTCTTTCACATTTAAACCTAACAACGCTGGGAAGTAATTACTTTTTATTTATTTATTTACAGGAAGAAAATTGAGGCTTGTAAGGTAATTTGCCTAGGGTCATGTTTCTGGTAAGTATGTTTGGACTCTGCCCTGTGATTCTAACTGTGCTTTTTTCATGGTTCTAAGTGGTCTTTGCATTCAATTGGGTATAACGGTCACCTATGAAGTGCATTAAAATTCCTGGGCTTGGTCAGATTCTACAGGTATGAGGTAGACATGAAGTGTTTTTTGGGGGTTCCTAGATTAATTGCGGCACAATTTACATGAAGTTTATGATAGGTTTTTTTCAGGTGCACTGCAGAAAAACAGGCAGAAAAAATAAAAGAGAAAGGGACTTTATTATCTTTGAGGACATGGAGAGAATATGAGGAAGAAGGGAATTCTCTCATTTGGAACAAAAGGAGGCTGAGGCTTTTATGGCCTTTGCTAGGGGTGGAGTTTGAAGGGGATGTCTAGATATACCTGAGGGGCTGACTGGGGGTCTTCCCTGAGGTGGAAGGAAGGGTGAAAGGAAATTGTATCCTGGGCGGAGTTGGAGAAGAAGAGGGGAGGTGGTCTTGGGGAAGATGGGCTTTGTTATAAGGGCTTCAGCCATATTAGATGACTACCATGATGATTTTAGCTATTCATACCAGGGCCAGAACCTATCAGTTGATTATTTAAATGTATAGTTTGAAAACATAGTAGTTATATGTAGTCATGTAAGTACTGTCACAGTCAAGATATGAAATATTTCCATAACTCTAAAAAGTTTCCTTGTGCCTTTTAATTCCCTGATGCCTATATTTTCAACCAGCTGAACAGATGGTTCATGGTTCTCATGCACAACTAGATGTGGGACCACAACACTATAATATACGGATTGCAAACTTGAGGAACTGAAGTCTTAGGAGAAAGTGATAAAGGCCAAGAAAAAAGCAAAGTGTTCTTAAAAGAAAAATGATTGCTTTGTCTTCAGATAAACTATGTTTTACTGGATTCCTCTGCTGAGGTGGAATATGAAAGACAGAAATTTGTAGACCAAGCCCTGTTTAAAAAAGTTTTCCCTCTAACATGGTGTCTTCCCAGACAATGTAACAAATGAAAGGTTCTGATCAAAATTGATGTAGATGGCTAGATAAATTGTTTTGAAATAGAGATCTGGGGTCACTGGACAGACTTGGTAACATGCAGAGGCAGTCTGAGAGGTGGGTGGGAACTAGGCTCTGGGGTGGGAACTGCTTCTGGGCAGTGCATAGGAGGGGCCTTTCACTGGGGACACACACCCCACTTGGGCTTCTCCATTTTCTTCTGCATGAACTAACAGCAATTCTTAATTTCATATCCAGTTAGAAAATTAGCCTGTAGCGAACAGGTTTGGGCTCTGGCCCAAAGAACATTTGGGTAAGGTAGAAAATGTAAAATGTAGCTGTGGATCCAGAGACAGTTTGAGGCAGGAGGCCAGCAATTTTTGACTCTCAATTCTGCTTTTTTTTTTTTCCTGCTAGATTCTTTCCCCTCCTCCCCCATGGCTTTCTATGAGTGGTTTCTGTTCTCACCCATACACAGTGGTGAGTGGCACATAGGTGGCAGGCAGTAGCAATATAATTTTGACACACTATAGTGATGTCAGTTAGTACGACAAAAATAGGTTTCAAAGGAAATTCTGTAGATTTTTTTTTAATGTTGGCTCTAACATATTTTGAAATTTAAATATGCTCCATCTTAAGTATTCCCTCTCCTGAACTTTTTTCTTGTTTTAGTTAGACAGCACATTTTCCCCTTTCCTGAAGAGGTGAATGAAGGTATATACAAAAGACAAGTCACCTCATGCTCTTATCCCCTAAATCAGCCAGCTGCTTCCTGGTGGAGAGCTGCACTCTGGCACGGATTCTGGGATTCAGCTTCCTTATTTGTGACGTTTTGCTTCTTGTAGTCCCTGTGAGTGACCTCAAGAGGAAATATCTGGAATAGAGCCACACAACTGATTAACAGAGGAAGGAACAAAGGGAGAAAATTAGGACTATTGTTGTGGAAGGAAAAAGTGAAGATGCAGGGCTGTAGGCTATTAAAAAAAAATTAGTTCTCTTCTCATTTGAGAAAGTGTGAAGGTGTTAGGGAAAGTAATCTTTGAGTTAACACCCTAGCTAATTTGAGTTTAGGAGATTATGTGAAATTTATGTACATTTACTTTTCATTTGTTACCTCAGTGTTCTTTTCTCCACTATGTGGTTTCAGGGTTTTATAACACTGAAGAAATTTAACAGTTCAAAATTATAATAATGATAGCATTGACTTTCACAAACATCTTGTTATCCTCTCCCAAGCTCCTCACAAACCATTAGAATTAGGCAAATACTTCTTTAAAACTCACATAAATTATGCTGAGGAAAAAAAATAGGACATTTAAAACTTTTAGAATCAAATGTATATATTTTTTGAATTGTGATACTAGGGATTGAAACAAGGACCTTTGCGCTGAGTTGCATCCCAATTTCTTTTTCTTTTCTCTTTCTTTCTGTCTGTCTGTATTTCTTTTTTCAGAACCAGGGATTAAACTCAGACCCTTGCTCTTGTTAGGGAAGCGCTTATTCCACTGAGCCATCTCCCCAGCCCTATGCATCCCAATTTCTGAACCCTTTTAAAATTTATTTATTTTTACTTTTGAGACAGGGTCTTACTGAGTCACTTAGGTTGCCCAGGCTGGGTTAGATTTTATAATCCAATTGCCTAAGCCTCCCAGAATACTCAGATTTTAGAGCTGAAAGGGATGCTAGAAAGTTGACTGAGTAAAGGCCACTCAGCCACCATCTGCTAGGGCAGAGCCTAAAAAGCCACCTACTGTATAGCACCAAGGTGTCCTAGAATAGAGATGCTCATATCTAATTATCCTGAGATATCAAGCTTCTGGGCTAGCCTCTTGTAGCTAATTGCCATTACTTTTAGGCCTCGTAGGCTCTGGCTAGAGACACAAACTGGATCCTTGCCTTTCACAAGGTTACATTTTAGTTTGGAAGACATAACCAATGAATTGCCCAAGACAATATATTATATTAGGTGTGAGAGGAACAGAACAATATATTTTGTAGTTACTGTTGGAGGTAACCAGTTGGAGGTATAGTTAGGGGAAATTTTATGAAGACCTGGGACTTGACTATCCTCCCAGAAAGATTCCAGGATTGAAATTGGAGAAGGCATTTCAGGTAGCAAGTTAAGTGAGACTAAATGGAAGCTCAGCGTCTGGATATTGCAGGGTATGAGAGATTTAGCAGGAGATGAAGATTCAGAGAGACATACTAGTTGGAGCCAGTTTAAATGAGCTTTAAAACAATGTAGGAAGATGTTTTAAGGCTGTGCTGTGAGATTGGTGGTCTATTAGTGTGGTAATATGTATATGCAGTATTCATTGTGATGGCTTTGCTAAGATGGTTGTTGGCCTCTTACAGTAAAATAGTGTTTGTATCATTTTCACCTATTTTTCTAATTTCTTTTTTTTAATGTTCTTTTAAATTTCTTTGTGCTGTTCTCTGTTCTATTAGGCTCTTGCCCCCTAATTTTTTTCCATCTTTCAGACTCTTAGAGCTAGAGTAGATTTTGGGAGAAGAAATTGGAATATGAGTTGTGACCCACAAATGCATTTTCCCTGGTGGATAAACTCCACTGCAGGCCACAGAGGGGCCTCCTCATTCCAGCAATCTGACTAGAATGATAGACTCAGCCTGTAGGGAGGGGCGGGGAAGGGGGCAAGTATTTCTCAGGCTAGTGAGGAACTGGCCTGATTCTTTGCAGTCTAGGCAGAGGAGGCTGAAGCCCCGGGGGTGGGCAAGTTTCCCTGGCTTGGAATGTCTGGGCAGATGCACAGGCAGCTGGAAAGGTGGCACCGCACTTGGGGCACTGAAGCTGCCGCTGTTCCTAGGAGACGGAGGAGCAGGAGCCTGCGGGGGAGGGGGAGCAAGTGGATTGCTGCTTTTAGCAGCTGAAAGGGCTGCAGGGAGCTCTGGGTAAGACATTTTCTACTGCTGCTGCTTCTGCGGTAGAAGCTGCCGGGAGTAAGTCGGAGGAAGGAGGATCTAGAGGGAGGCGGCTTCAGTGCAGCCATGCTGAATCACAGTTGCTGATCAGCTCTCCTGCTGGACTGCTAGGAGAATCCAGATAAGAGCTAGGATTCCCGGGAGCCTACACAGTCCAGCGGCTATCACCCCTACCGGGCCTCCCACAATGGAGAGTGAAAGGTATGTATGTATGTATGTGTAAGTGTACGTCGTGTGTGTGTGTGTGTGTGTATGTGTGTGTGTGTGTACGCGCGCGCGCCCGTGTGCGACTGCGCGCACGCGCGCCCGTGGAAATGTGTGCTTGTGGTGCAGCTACCAGCTTTTGTATTTGCATTTACTGGGGAGTGTTGGAAAGCCTGGCCACTGATGTATCCCAAAGGGCAGCAGTCAGAGCAGGGAAGTCCTTTTCCACACCCACCCCTTCCAGGACTCAAAGCTCCAGAGATCTGGTTTCCACAAAGGAAGCTTTGGGTTTGTTGGGCAGGGGAGCACACTGGAAGAAGGGACTTCCTGGCTGGTGTTGGGGAATAGTTTTGGCACTGGCGACTCAGGATTACCTTCCTCAGGCTGTTTTAAGGAGGCATTTCCCTTACCTGGCTTCTTTTCCCCAGGTGTATTTTTGTTGTTGTTAGTTAGTTGGGGGTGTTGATGTCATAGCAGTGCTTATCTACCGTAGAGCACTTGCATTTTTTGTACCGAGGTACCCAAATCTTCAGGAAGCATTTCATGTTAATGGCTTAAAAAAAAAAAAGTGTGTGTGTGTGTGTGTGTGTGTGTGTGTGTGTGTGTGAACATATGCTCACACCCCCAAATACACATGTTCAGAGTTGAGGGGGAGAAACAAAGTCAGATGCCACTTCCACTGAACCAAATTTTATCTCTATCAAAAAGTTTATGAGTGATAGATACTACAAGATCTGCGCTTTAAAGGAACCCTCCTTCCATCTGGGATTCCTTAAGAAATTGGAATCAGCAGGAGAGATTTTTAAGTACTTGTGTTTAGTGGGAACTGACTAGCCTGGGTTTATTTTCTGCCAGACACATGCATACAAATTTTTAAATTATTTTAGATGCTGACCTTTCCACAGTGAAGGCGCTCAGTGCAGTCCTGCGGTAGATCAGACCTCTATCTGTGGACCAGAAGTCTCCCGAGTACCAACTTCTTCCTTTTCTGAGTTTGTACTTAGAGAGACCATACTTAGAATTTTTTTGAACAGGGAAGACTACAGGGAAATGTCAGCCCAGGGCAGTGTAGCACCTAGGGGCCATTTACTGGCTATTTAAACGAGAATGACCTGAACTAAGTCAGCACTATCTAGAGAACACCTACCTTAAGAAACACTTTGCTTTGCACTGGTGGTTCTGACTCCTGCATCTCATGGGGCAGAATAAAGAGGCCCTGGAGACTGCACTTCTCCATGTCATGCCCACAGGAGGAGTCTGGGACTCTGCAGACAGTGTGTTGCCTGTGCAGCCCCTTTCTGGCTGTTCTTTGCAACTGGAGCTTCACACTGAACTTTGTTTGCCCTCTTGGGCCATAGAGCATCCAAAGGCCTTTCAACAGCAGTAGACAGTGTCTTCCCCTTTTCTTACTGGTCTAGGAGCTCGTGGAGCCAAGGATGATGTGATGGAGATATACCAAGACTATTTGTTTGACCCATGGAATATTGGGGCTGAAAGGTTGCTAAAAGACTTCTAGCAGCTCAAGGAAATCTGCTGCTTTTTATAAGAACTCTGGTTGATGCTGTTGGCTGAAATATCTGATGTGTGTGATTTTTGAGCACCTGGTTACATGTTTTTTGCTTTTCCTCTGCTGGAAGCAGAAGGAGACAAGAAATACGAATTGTGTTCTTCAAATGTTCACCAGGTCATCTGGCTCACTCCTTTTTGATCCTACTCCAAGTCTAGCTTATATGCCAAGCATTCAAGTCTTCTGAGATCTGGCTCCTATCTCCATTCCCACTGCTTAGTCACAGGCCTACCAATAGTTTTATTGGCCTCCTTCATCCCACCCATTCTGTACATTACTCTATGTAGTTTACATCCTTTGCTTCTACAGTGTGTTTGAGTGGATCCCTTTCTCTTCCTTTTCTACAAAAGGATATCTGTCTGTCTGTCTGTCTATCTATCTATCTATCTATCTATCTATCTATCTATCTATCTATCTATATCTTATACATGTATGTTTTAAAATTCTACTTTGTTTTGGGAACCTCAGCATTTCTAGTCTTCACTGATGTTCTTAGTATCTCTAATGTGTACCTCGAGTTTGGTACTATATAGATCTACCAGATCTTTTTGTGCTTTTGTTTCATACATCTTACAAGTGTTCAGTCTTGGAGATAGGCTTTCTAGGGCAAGTATGGTGCTTTATTCCTCTTTCTGAATATTTCTCTTTGATACTATGTGGCTGTAAAAATAGCACATGTTGGGAAGTTATTTGACTGTTAACTGATAACTTTCGTGGGAAACTATTAACTAAAAAGAAAATTGATGAGAGAAGGGATTGAAACCTTTGGCTGGGTTCATGCTTGGAAGGGATCTTTATGTCAGCATAGATGATTGACCTCATGAAGTACTTTGAGGTAAAAGAAGAACAGAGGAAAGTAACTTGTTTTACAAGTTTCCTCAAAGTTGAGGGCCAGGTTAATCCAAATCACTTTTCTAGGATCACATGTCAAACCTCCAGGGACTGGTGGGATCCTGAATCTGGTGCTTGTTCCACATTTAACTTGCCAAAGCTTACCTGAGGTTGTTTTAAACATTAAAAATTTTCAGCCAAGAAATTTCTAATGAATAATTTTTTCTTTGCCATGAGGGTATGAAAATACCTTCTTACTGTGAAGGACTATTAATTAAAAACATAGCCTTTGGAGTAACATACACCTAGTAGTGAATATACTTTACAAATTTTATGACCTTGAATGTCTCATTTTTATAGAACTGATTTTCCTTTTTTGTGTAAAGGAATGAGAACAATATCTATACTTCATGGGATTATTTTGCAGGTTAAATGAGACAATACGTATAAAGCACCTAGGAAATTTTTTTGATACACAATAAGTACTCAGTTGATGATAATACTGTTGTCATTGATGAATGTCTGTTACCATGTTGTATCGCTGGGATACTAACCAAGGCATATTTTAGGGTTTTTCTAAATTTCTTATCTAAAGGAGATTATAAATGACCACTCTCATGAGAAAAATAGGAAGAGCTTATCAGGCCATCATCTTGCTTATCTGAAGTATTTCCTTAAAGCAAGATACCTAAAAGAGCATGACATTTCCTCTTTTCACCAAGATCTGCTTTAATCTAGGTGTCTTAGTGGCTTGGAACCATAAGCTGCATACACCTTTGTTCAGGCCACAGTTGATGTTAAGAACTTGTGGATGTACCCTCACTCACCCTTGCTTGATCCTGAGCTCTCCACCTCTATGCTGGACCTTTGGGTACTAATCTTCCCCAGCCCCTTCCCTGAGAGAATCATGGTGGATTAATCAGTCTCAGGAAGCTAACTTTGTAAAGTGGTCTCTGCCTCTTAGCTACTATGTACAGTGATAAATTGTGTCTGTGTAAGTAGAACAGATAGACACTGCAAATGGCCTTGTTGTTGGTATTTTATTTCAACTCTGGAAATCAGCCTTGTAGATGGGTTAAAATAAATTTCCCACTTATATAATTAGTTAAATTCATAGAGACAGAAAGTAAGATGGTTGCCCAAGGTTAGAGGGAGGAAGGAATGGATATTGTTTAATATATATGGAGTGTTAGTTTGGAAAGCTGAAAAAGTTCTGGAGATGGATAGAGGTAATGATTGTACAACAATATACAAATGTGCTTAATGTTGTACACTTAAAGTGATCATAATTGCGAATTTTCTGTTACATGTATTGTATCACTAGCACAATTCTAGACCCATGCTGGCAGATCTGCAAAAGTTGCAAAGAATCATAACTTCTGGAGGAGGCATCATGAACAGGAAAGTTTATTTATTTATTTATTTTTCAAATTATGGTGATTTTCCTTGTCAGAAGCACAAGGATGCTGCTGCTTGAGAAGGGCACCCTGTACTCAACTCTTTACCTTGAATTTCTGTGATGTGTCCTCAGAGCACAGTTCTTCCTAGCTGGCTGTTACATAGGAGCACCTGCCTCTGGGCCTCGGGGAGCTTCTGAACAGAAAGTACTTATCTATTCTTGATTCAGGAACCACAGATAGGTAATACATTCCAAAGAGGCAAGATTTAGAAAGCCCATACTTCCTAAATGCTGAGTTCTGCAGTGCTAGCTATAACAGGCTGGCGAGACCTGAGGAAGGGCAAGCATTGAGCGAGCTAGCAACTTTTCTGTTTTCGTCGGGAATGCATCTAAGCCTCCCTCTGTCCTTAAATATCATGCATAGAGATTTTTGGGCGTCACTGTTTCTTGAAGCACATGTGGATGCATTTCAGCTATGATAATTGAAACCAAAATTTTCCAGTTTGGAAATACTTTTTGGCAAACTAAGGCTTTCAAATGCAAAAACAAAGCCAGTGAAAGACACTTCTTGATTTCTCCAAATCCAGCTATGGCTTTTTAGGGTTTTCCTTGCTAAGTTTTAGATTGTTAAGAGATTGGGACAACATTTTGTGTAAGTTTCTAAAGCAAGTGCTTTGTCTTGATGAAATTTGCCTTTGTAGAACTGACCTATTTTTTTAATTTCTGGAAAAACCCCAAAACTAGGTTAAATTGAATAGACCATTAATAAATTATGTAAAAAATAGCTTGAACATGTTTTGTCCTTAGGGCCCCCCCCCTTAAGTAAGTTCAGTGATTCTTAGGGTAGAAATCAGCTTTTTATGAGGATTTTTAGATTCTCAACATAATTTCCTGGAGGGCCGGGGAGATGGCTCAGTGGAATAAGCACTTCCCTGGCAAGCGCAAGGGCCTAAGTTCAATCCCTGGTTCTGCCAAAAAACCCCAAAACAACAACAACAAAAAAACTTCCTGGAATTTCCTTTTTAACTTGTGAAAATACATTGTGGCTTTGATCAAAGCTATGAATGAAAAATCTCAGTTCTATTCAAACCAAATATAAGCGTGCCTTCCAATATGCCACATAATAAGGGCTGTATTTCTTTTTGTCTTCTCTTGTCTTCTGTCTGCCTAAGAGTTTCATTTATGTTTTATAGAATGCAC